CATTTTCCCTCTATTGGTTCCTGTTTCTGGCTTGATCTGTGAACCAAATAGCAGAGCAATTCACAAAATATATATACATAACATTTATTTTATATTTTGCAGTGCACTATTTTGCCCATTTTTGCACCCTCTTTTGTTTGTCTAAATCATTTTAATGAATATTTTTCATGAACAATATTCAGACAAGCCGAACAGTCAACTGAACAAGTAGTGGAGGTTTCATTTTCAGAAAAGATGGTGGCATAACCAAATGTATCTCCCGTGCAAGTCTAGTGTCAACTAAGAAATGTCCTGCACATAAAAATGGATACACAATACACATTAGGTGGATTGCATGTGCATGTACCGACAATGACACCACACTAGTTACAACCATCCAATATAAAAAATAGATGCAGTAAGTTGTAGGAAAATGGTCTATGTATTGCCTGCTGATGTGTCCAGCACACACTCTCATACAAAAGAAAAATAAAGATAAAAAATTATTTTAATATACAACATATTAATTTTCATAGAAGTCACGTTCGCACAACACAAAACTATATTTTCCAAAAGGTCAATTTTACTCGGTTTTTTTTCCGTTAGGTAACAAGCAATGATAAAAAAAATGTGTAATCAATCAAAGATATACTAAAATCATTGAAACAGCAAAAAAAAAAAAAATTGCTCATCAGAAAATAAACCTTTCCAACTGTTAATTAACTAGCAAGTATCAAGAAATCATCCAATATCTTTCTAGTGAGATCAACAGAGACAACATATACTCCATAAGCATTGTTTTTTAACACAAAAGATATACATTAAACTATATACATTAAACTACTCAATGATTCAGTTGCATACCAGTTAAGATGGCAAGCAAATTATTACATTTTTAAGTAAAAACAATAGGATTACAGAACAGATTTATACTACACTATTCAAATACTTGAAAATGTAACTTTTTTGGAAAAAAACAAGTAAGAGACCATAAAATGGTTTGCCAACATACTTTCGCAATTTTTATTTGTAATAGAAAAACTGCTATTTTCCTAGAAGCATTGAAATATGTCACATGTTGGCAAAGTGAATATGATATAATGTAATAGTCATATTTTATTTTTTCACACATATGAATGTTTCTAATTAAATTCAATGTGTCATTATTTCAGACACATATTATACAACATATGGCAGAAGTCACATAGTTTAATAGATAGTCTGATTGTTTTTATTACAAATTATACTATCTCATAATCATAATCACGGTTCACAAAATTGTCATCATATATTTATGTGTGTATATATATATATATATAAAGAGAGAGAGCACTCACAAGACTTCTTAATATATATGCTCTTTCTTTTATTGAAGCAGACAATGTGCAAAAAAGATTGTTTCATTCCTTTAATGAACTTTTATCAATATATATAAAAATATATACATTGTTGAATTTTGGAGCCAAAAGAGCAAGTAATTTTACCTTATCCAGCTTGTGAAGTGTCTCTGAAGCCTGAAAAGACTGTGTAACACCCTAATTCTAAGACAAGGTACCAAAGGAAATTTGTACTTTTGTCACTATATATATATATATATATATATAGTGAGGGAAAAAAGTAGTTGATCACCTGCTGTTTTGAACATTTGCCCACTGACAAAGAAATGATCAGTCTATAATTTTAATGGTAGGTGTATTTTAACAGTGAGAGACAAAATAACAAAAGAAAATCCAGAAAAATGCATGTCAAAAAAGTTAGAAATTGATTTGCATGTCAATAAGTGAAATAAGTATTTGATCCCCTATCAATCACTCTCTTAAAGGGAGTGCTCCTAATCTCAGATCGTTACCTGTATAAAAGACACCTGTCCACAGAAGCAATCAATCAATTTGATTCCAAACTCTCCACCATGGCCAAGACCAAACAGCTGTCCAATGATGTCAGGGACAAGATTGTAGATCTACACAAGGCTGCAATGGGCTTCAAGACCATCATCAAGCAGCTTGATAAGAAGGTGACAACAGTTGGTGCAATTATTCGCAAATGGAAGAAACACAAAATAACTGTCAGTCTCCCTCGGTCTGATTCTCCATGCAAGATCTCACCTCATGGAGTTTCAATGATCATGAGGACAGTGAGGATTCAGCCCAGAACTACACAGGAGGATATTGTTAATGATCTCAAGGCAGCTGGTACTGTAGTCACCAAGAAAACAATTGGTAACACAATACGCCGTGAAAGATTTCATTCCTGCAGCGCCCACAAGGTCCCTCTGCTCAAGAAATCACATGTACAGGCCTGTCTGAAGTTTGCCAATGAACATCAGAGGAGAACTGGGTGAAAGTGTTGACCAAAATCGAGTTCTTTGGCATCAACTCAACTCGCCATGTTTGGAGGAGGAGGAATGCTGCATATGACCCTAAGAACACCATCCCCACCGTGAAACATGGAGGTGGAAACATTATGCTTTGGGGGTGTTTTTCTGCTAAGGGGACAGGACAACTGCCCCGCATCAATGGGATGATGGACGGAGGCCATTTACCATCAAATCTTGGGTTAAATCCTCCTTCCCTCAGCCAGGGCATTGAAAATTGGTCATGGATGGGAATTCCAGCATGACAATGACTCAAAACACATAGCCAAGGCAACAAAGGAGTGGTTCAAGAAGAAACAGATTAATGTCCTGGAGTGGCCTAGCCAGTCTCCAGACCTTAATGTCATAGAAAATCTGTGGAGGGAGCTGAAGGTTTGAGTTGCCAAATGTCAGCCTCGAAAATGAATGACTTGGAGAGGATCTGAAAAGAGGAGTGGGACAAATCCCTCCTGAGATCTGTGCAAACCTGGTGGCCAACTACAAGAAATTTTTTACCTCTGTGATTGCCAGCAAGGGTTTTGCCACCAAGTACTAAGTTGAAGGGGTCAAATACTTATTTCACTCATTGACATGCAAATCATATTATAACTTTTTTGACATATTTCTGGATTTTCTTTTGTTATTCTATCTTTCACTATTAAACTACACCTACACTTACCATTAAAATAATAGACCGATTTCTTTGTCAGTGGGTAAACATTCAAAATCAGCAGGGGAAAACATACTTTTTTTTCCTCACTGTATATCTAAATATACACATAAATATATATAATCATTAGAAACAACATCAAAACCACCTGCCTAATATCATATAGTTCCCCCTCATGTTGCTAAAACTGTTCTTGCATTGAAGCATAGACTCCACAAGACCTCTGAACATGTCCTGTAGTATCTGGCACCAAGACATTGGCAGCAGGTTCTAAAAATTGCGAGGTGGGGCCTCAATGGATTTGGTTTGTTGTTCCAGCACATCCCACAGATCGTCAATCAAATTGATATCTGGGGGATTTGGAGGCCAAAGCAACACCTTGAACTCTTTGTCATGTTCCTCAAGACATCCCTGAACAATATTTGAGTGTAGCAGGGTGCATTATTCTGCTTAAGGAGGCTACTTCCATCAGGGAACACCATTGCCATGAAGGTGTGCGTGTGGTGTTGAGCATTCTCTAGGTATGTGGTACATATCAAAGCATCATACACATGAATGCCAGGACCAAATATTTCCCAACAGAACATTGCCCAGAGCATAACACATCCTCTGTTGCCCTGCCTTCTTCCAATAGTGCATCCTGCTGTTATCTCTTCCACAGTTAAATGATGCACATATACCTGGCCATTTACCTGATCTAAAAGGAAACGTGATTATCAGTCCAAGCAACCTTCTTCCATTGCTCTGTCATCCAGTTCTGATGCTCATACCCTATTTAAATTACATTTGGTGGTAAACAGGGGTCATCGTGGGCACTGTAAGTAGTCTGAGGCTACACAGCCCCATACGCAGCAAACATTGATGCACTGTGCATTCTGACACCTTTCAGTCATGGCCACCATTAAGATTTCAATTTGGCCTACAGTAGCCCTGTGTGTGATTAAACCATATGGGCTAGCCTTTGCTCCTCATTTGCCTCAATGAGCCTTGGGTACCCATGACCCTGATGGTTTTTTTTTGTTGCTCCACTTTTGTTAGGTACTAACCACTGTATACTGGGAATACCCCACTTGCCAGTTTGTAGATGCTCTGACCCTGTTGTCTAACCATCACTATTTGGCCCTTGTTAAAGTGACTCAGATCTTTTTACTTTCCAATTTTCTCCTACATCCAACATATGAAATTCAAGAACTGACTATTCGCTTGCTTCTTGACAGATGCCATTGTAATAATATCATCAATGTTCACTTCGCCTGTCAGAGGTGTGATGAACCGCCTGGCACCCCGACTGGGTGCCTCCGCCAATCAATGCTTCCTAGCTGATGCTGAGGACCATAAGCACCGCACTGGACACCATCAGCACTGTAGCCCCCATTTCCGCCACAGCTTGGCTGGGGTCTCGTCGTCCCTTCCCACCCTGGACCAGCTCCTGGATCCAGCTCTCAGTGGGAAGGCCTCTCCTCCAAGAGAGTACAGCTGTGAAGCTCTTATAAGAGCTAGTGGTTATAGTAGTATAGCTGTTCCCTACAATCACGAGACAAGGCTGTGTGTTGAGGGTGAAGAGGAACTGATTTTAATGGTACCACACTTGACCTTATATGACAATCCACATGCAAAGGGTACACTCACATGGACCTTGTGCGGAACTGAGTGATAATATTCACAGACCAATAAGAACAGTATTCCAATGCACGACACTCCCACACATAGCATACAATCTGCCTGCCTGGGAGATAATTGAGTTAGATACTGAATTAACCCAACTATCTCCAGGCAGAAAAAAACACACATTTCTATAAAGTCCCAAAAGTTCCCCAAAACACATAATATCTCCACAAATGTCACATCCCCTGATAGCCCTGATCTGGGTTACCAACATATCCAAAAATCACCCAGATCAGTTCACGGGCTCAGGAATGGTACTGATGGTACTTTCGCCACAAGTGGTTTTAATGATATGGCCAGTATATATATATATATATATATATATATATATATACCAAAATACCAGAGTTTTGCAGTATGCAATGATACCTTTTTTATTGGACTAACATATATTTCAAAGACAAGCTTTCAAGATTTTTCCTCTCTTCCTCAGGTCTGAAGCAATACTGAGGTATACTGTTATTATGTTAGTCCAATAAAACAGGTATCATTGCATACTGCAATACTCTGGTATTTTGGCATCTTGTCTACTGGACTAATATGGCTAATCCAGTCAACACTATCTATCTATCTATCTCTCTCTCTCTCTCTCTCTCTCTCTCTCTCTCTCTCTCTCTCTCTCTCTCTATATATATATATATATATATATATATATATATATATACATTATACAAATATTTATATTTATTATATTTATTTGTTTCACTACTCCTCGTATGCTCTTTATCTATGATGTATGTATGTATGTATGTAAGCATGTATGGAGAAGGGACGTAGAACTTGTGTGGACTGGCTGGCTATAAAGTAGTTAACATAAAGTTGATTTAAATAACTGCTCCTGCTGCCTCTATCTCTCTAACAACCCGACATCCTTCTGCCATCATGTGGCAGTGTGAAACATTCTCTTTTCTGATACAGTCACTGCACTCTGTCCTTTTCTGTACACCTAGTATTAAGCTTCAAGTTTGCAAGAAGGAAGGAAGAGGAAAGGCAAAAGCCCTGAACAGGGAGAATTCAAAGTTTATAAATAGTGAGAAAGAGAAGTCTTGAGCCACAGGGCTTGTAAAATAGACAATAGTCTTGGTGGGAAGATGGAAGAGAGAGATTGACATATGTTATGTGAATTCTTAAAGAATCCTGCAATTGTCCCCCCCAGTACCACCTCCACCGGACAGGTAAGGCTGTTATTGTGCTTTCTATTAAAAAGATTCTGTAATATGACCCATTATATTTGTCAGCACCAGGCCCAATGGTCTCATAATCCAGCCATGGAGGGGGCTGTACGCCATTGACTCATCAAGATCTGTTTCACACAATTAATCCCTATTTTATTTTAGAAAAAAATAGTTATCAATTGCATTTATTTTTATTGCTAAATAATTACATTTGCTAAATAGAATAAAAATATGATATATGCAAAAGTTTCCCAAAGTTATTTAATTAGATACATTTGCTATGTTGATTCAGACTATCAAGTTATGGTAAATACTCATACATTTAATACATCCTGCTTTGCTGGTGTCTGCTTGTAAATACATTTTATATAGTGAATATATAGAAATTCACTTACATCTGCATATAAAAAAATAATTCTTTCCCATCTTTATAAAATATGTATTTTGATTATAATCCAAAAGTTAAAGATGAGTGACCATTGAGTCTGGACTAAGATTTGAGAATCTCAACCCTTTCATTGACTTGTGTTCCAAGCATTGGTAACGTTGAGAGTCCACTGACAAACAAGTAATAATAATAGTAATACAATGTTATTTGCTGCTAAAAAATAATAATTTAAAATATAGAAGAGCTTTATTTGTCTTGTAAAAATGTTTTGTTGTCATTGGCTTTTTGTAGACTCTTCTTTACATTTCATTTTTTAATCTACTTAAATATTGTCTATTGGAAAACCAAAGGTTTAATAACATATTTAACGTATGTCTATAATGTGACCACCATAAAATGGTACCACTATAATTCCTTTCTTGATGACAAAAAAGCTATTATTAGACCAAGTGCTCTAATGATGTGGGGATCAGCAGTGTACCCCATGGAGTAACCCTATATTTTTGCACCCCTTAACCTGCCACTCACAGTTCTAGCAATCTTTAAATACATTCCAACCATATACCTAAATATTCTTAATCTTCTAGTAGTGTCATTTGAATCCGCATTGTGATTCACACGTAACTCTTTTTAACACAATGTCATATCAGCATTACTCAAATGAGGCTTAACATCAAAACTATCTGTTCTAACAATATTTTAAATGCATGCAAGGGGCAATTGACTGCAATGCAGCATAAAACAATGGATGATTAATTAAAGGTTAATTTTTTGTATTCTTCACACAGAAATGCATTGGTGCATAATAAAGGTAACTTGAAAAAACTAAATCCAGAAAATGTTACATTAATCACTAGTGATGTCCCGAACGGTTCACCGAACGGGTTCGCTGCGGACTCATCATTGAGTAAACTTTGACCCTGTACCTCACAGTCAGCAGACACATTCCAGCCAATCAGCAGCAGACCCTCCCTCCCAGACCCTCCCACCTCCTGGACAGCATCCATTTTGAAGCTGCATTCTTAGTGAGCTGTCCAGGAGGTGGGAGGGTGTGGGAGGGAGGGTCTGTTGCTGATTGGCTGGAATGTGTCTGCTGACTGTGAGGTACAGGGTCAAAGTTTACTCAATGATGAGTCCGCGGCAAACCGTTCGCGAACCGTTTGGCGAAGCGTTCGGGACATCACTATTAATCACCAAATAATATTGCTGACTTTGTGCTTGTGCAATACTCTAACTATCCTTTAATAATTTCCTGAAAAATTAATGGAATACTGTCTAATTAGCGCACCAAAGAAAATCTAAATATCTATTTTACATCCACTTAGGTTGAAATACCTTGCTGTTTAACACTGTCACTTTTACAAATGCAAAGTGTATTCTTAACCAACAGCATTGATGCTAGTGTAAATAAATAACCAACGGGAACCAATTTTAAATAGAAATTATACAACCATCCTGTCATAAAGTCAACCCATATGTATTTAGTGCATTTAAAATAAACCAAGCAGGTTTACCCAGAATCACTTAAGAACCGGTTAAAGGGATAGAATACAAACCTACATTCCTAATGCTATAGTGCCCTATTTGCAGTTTGTTACGGTTCTCTTCCTTGGTTTATTAAAAAAAACCTGAAAAAAGGTTGGGTTTTTTTACCGTTACTTCTCTTGTAAAGCTCCCTTGACACTGCCCGCCACTGTGTCTCCTGCTACATCATTAGATTCTTAAACCCATGACCAATCCAATGCTCATCAATGCTCATCATAGATGAATCCACGTTTCCTTACAGGAAAGCATTCAATTCAATGATGGCCTTCCGTGTCATATGGCAGAGTTTTACTTTACAGGGGACTTAATGAATAGCCTCACTACAGTCTAAACACTAAACAGGTGGGGAGAGGTTGCTTTTCTTGTACTACCAGTCTAGAGTAGTTTCAGAAGGAGAACAATTGCTGGTGCAGCACTTCTGAACAAGGTCAGGCCCAGCGGGCCTGTCAGTGTGTGTATCTATGTGTGTGTCAATGTGTATCTGTTTGTGTGTGTCAATGTGTATGTATATCAGTGTAAGTATAGATGCATATGTGCAGACATTCAAATGCGAACACTACATGCAAACACACCCTTGCAATCAAATGCAAACACATGCAAAAACACTACTGCAGTTAAATGCCAAAGTTATATATACATATACCCTTTCATTCAAACTCCAATACTACACACATATGTACACCCTCCTTTAAAAATTACATACAAACACACCCTTCCAATCAATGCAAGTATTACAAACACTCCCCTGTGTTAAAATTTCAAAGTTATATACACACATCTTGTGATGAACTAAACCTTGTCACAGGTTCTTGGAGGGGCCTGCTGGCTAGTCTCTTGCCTAAGGACTATGGGCCCTGCAATTTACCTTGCCCAATGCACTTTAAAAGGCTCTGTTCATGTGAGTTATGTACTTTTGTACTCCAGACAGAGAGGCCGACCATTACCCCTGATTCCCTGGAACTGTTTTGGGCATAGGACCATGTGCACTGTCGGTCAAAAATAAGACTTCCAGGAAATTCCTGAACTGATTTGGGTGATTTGTGGATATGTTGGTCACCCAGATCAGGGCTATCAGGGGATGTAACTTTGTGAGGGGTTTGTGTGTTTTAAGGTGTTTTGGGGGGTTTGTAAAAATGTAATTTTTTTTTTTAATTGAAGATAATTGGATTAGATTAGTACAGTTCCTGATGCAATTATCTCCCAGGCATAGAGGAGGGGTTATCTGATTTTGTATGGGAGTGTCGTGGACCTGAGAGACAATGTGATTGTGTATTTATTTCTACTGTGGTTTATTCTCAGGCCCAGGGGGGAGTGCCACTTGCATGGGGACTGTCATAAAAGGCCAGTTGTGGATACCATTAAACTGAGATTTGTTTTACCTTTCATGAAGTCTAGGCTCATGTTTGGGGGATTGGAGAGCTATATTCACACTCTAGGGATTGTATTATCACTATATATACAACAGTTGCTCTTAAAAGAGCAGCCTGCTTCGCTCTCTGGACTAGGAGAGGTCTACCCACTTAAAGCTGGATCCTGGTGTTGGGTCCAGGGTGGGTGGAGGACAGCGACACCCCAACAAGGCTGCAGTGGTTTGTGGGGTTTATGGTGGTTATGGTGTTCCAGTGCAGTGCTTATGGTGCTCGCAAGTACTTGGAAGCTTGCCAGGCAGTCCATCACAACCTTAATGCAAACACTAATACTACACACAAAAGTACTCCTGCATTTAAAAGTAAACACTAGATACAAAAAAAACCCTGCATTCAAAGGCAACGATTACATTGAAGTAACCCTCTGCATTCCAATGGCAATGTTATAAACAAATACACACACATACTCCATACAAAAACATGCTTATATTTAAAAGCACAAATGCTGCTCACAAATACAACCCTGCAAGGATAGGCAAATGGTAAATTCACATCTGGCATAGCATCATGGAAGTTGTAAGACATATGGACATCTATATTTTGGCCACCCTTGAGCTAGAAGGGTACCCAAAGCAATTTTTTCACCAGGCCCTATTTTACATTGGTTAAGCCACTGAGTAGTGTTTCTATTTTCTCACATCTAAATAATATGGATCTTTTGGAACAAGATTTAATAGATATAATGATAGAAAACTTTTTAAAAGCTAGTCAAAATCTCTAGGTTCCTGGAATTAGGATGCCCAGTTCATCTGGTACTAACTATCTTTACCAAAATCATAGCCTTTACAAAATTATATGTAGGTATCCCTTAATCACTTTAAAATATAATGATTAAGGGTTGACTTTTTATGGAGAAAAATGTGACACTGGAACTAGTATGCCCATACTCTCCCTCAAGTGTCTCCGTGACTCATAGTGAGTGACAGAAATAGAAGTTATAAATGATACTGTTTTTAAATTCCTCTCACTCACTGTTATGGAGAGTGAGGGCAAAGCTCTATAGGTAATAAAAAGGATAACATGTTTTCTAAAGTTGATATTGATGGGTGTGGATTAGGCAGATTATTTTTCCTTATGCTTCCTAATCTAATTCCTGGCAGGGAAGCTTGGATCACAGATACAGCATTAATAATGCTATTTTCACCCATTCATTTGTATCACTCCGGAAAATGCAAGGGAGGGAATGATGGTGACTGCCTCGGCCCATTTTTCATAAAAAAATCTTTAAGATAAAAACCTTTTATAGGAAAAATCCCTCATGCACATGTGTTCATACTTATAAAGTACCAAATCAAAACATAGAAATGTTTTCTTTATTAAATGAAATAAGTCAAGGTACCTCTAGTCAGTTTGGTATCATTTTATATTGTAGATTATGTTATGAGTTTCAAGTCACTGATTAAAAGGCTTATTTCCACCATTTACTATAACAATTAGATTATTTAGCATGTAATAAACGTGCAATGCCAGAGGATGTCTCAGCATGGTTTTACAACGTGCTAAAAACATTACTTAAGTTGTCTTGTGAAGGCATAATAAAACAAAAGATTTAAATTCTTAAGAAAGGTTTTCTTTATATGTTGTGGTGTTAAAAATGAACAAGGGATATTTTGTCAAGCTTATTATCAATATATAGCTCTAAAAATCCCCTGCTGATGGCTTATCAAGTATACAATTGACACAATATTGGCTGTACTTCCAGACAAAATTAAATCAGTATACATTGCCCTATTGCAACAAAACCAACTGTGACTTTCTAATGAATTTACATGACTGGCAAGCATGGTTTTACATGTGAGATTTAAATCTAATGATGTTAATGTATGCTGTTAAAAATATGGGCCATACGTGTACATTTACAAATCTGGCATTCAGATTTTGATATGTATCATATGTACTAAGCTGTAGGATGTAGTCAAAGTGCGTGTGTGTGTGTCTGTGTCTGTGTGTATAGATAGATAGATAGATATATCTTGATTCCACACAGTGCTCTAGGCTAATCATAATGAAATAGTCCAATAATCACATCAAACAGATCAACTGTTATGCCCTCTAGTATTCCCAAAACTGACGTCAGTGTGGTTCACAAGACTGTCCAGAACTGGCATTTGCAGGTTGTAACAATGTTTATGATCTCTCAAATGTTCGCTAATATACCATAGAGTGATTTTTAAATTTATGTTTCAAATGCAACTGGCAATATACATTAACACATTGATCTCCAGAGAGGCCCCTTGACATCGAACCCTATTTTGATAATAATATATCTATAAACATGTTAATAGAACTTATTAAAACTATATGAATTAAGGAGTAGCAATATTGCTGTTATCTTTAGATATACTGTCACAACAGCCGCATCGTTAACTCTAATTTACTATTATTGTTAATTTCTTAAGATCCAAATGCTTTGGTGTAAACATAAAAAAAAATGAAAAGTATGATCACATACAGTAAATAAAATATCATTATGTTTGCCTATGTTAGGTGTTTAATCCCTTAAGGACCAAGCTTCTGGAATAAAAGGGAATCATGACATGTCACACATGTCATGTGTCCTTAAGGGGTTAAGAAAAAAAACAAAACAAAACTATTACTCCCTTCTGCAAGCTTTGAAATTGCTGTTTAGTGAATGACTGAGTGTGCTATTATTATGGGTTTAATAAGTTCACGCTTTTAAGTACTGATGGTTTATATTGCCCTTAAAAAAAGACTCTCTGTGAATCTTGCCCCCCCACCCCCAAAAAATGAGGCTATTTCTTCTCATCTCATCTAACTATCTTATTTCTCACTTTGATCTCAACTGTCTGGCTGATGTTAGTGTGAAAAGGGGAATTCAACAGCTCAATGTGTTAAGCACAAATTGAATTTTCATGGTGCATAGTATCCTAATTAAAGCAACTCTTGATTTTGAGATCTACTTTTTTTTATTTATTATTCTGTAGTGCTTTACAATATTATGTGGGGGAAATTTAAACAATAAATGAGACAATTACAAAAAACTTACAGGAACAATAGGTTGAAGTCTACAGTCTAGAGGAGTTGGGGTATAAAACACAATAGGACAGAAGAATAGCAGTCAAACAATTTGGGAGTGAAGCAGAGCTGGAGGAGAGAGTACATTGCTGCCCTTTAGGAGAGAGCAAGGAATAAGTTGGGGAGTAAAGCTTGCTCTGGGAGGCCATAAGCTTTCTTTAAGAGATGGGTTTTAAGGCACTTCTTAAATGACTAAAGACTAGGGGAGAGTCTGATGGTGTTAGGCAGGCTACTCCAAATAAAGGGAGCTCCAAAAGTCCTGCAAGCGTGAGTTGACCGTACGGGTGTGAGCAGTGGACAGGAGAAGGTGATGGACAGAGCGGAGAGAACGAGAAGCGGCATACCTATAGATCAGAGAAGATATATAAGAGGTGCTAGAATTGTTCAATGCTTTATAGGTATGGATGAGTACTTTGAATTGACTCAGATACAGAAATCCAATGTAAGACTGACAGTGAGGTGTGGTGTGAAAGGATGTCTCTTGGGTACTTCTCTCTACAAGAGCCAACAACAAAGACAATTTGAGAGAGCAGGAAAGTGCAATTGGTGATCTTCTCTTGACAGCCTGTCACAACAGCCTGTAGATAATCATTGAGGACAATGATGCTCTATGGAGGAATCGTAGCATGAGCACTGCGCATGCACCTATGTTCCCCAATTCTCCTCTCCTTATTATCCAGGATGATGTAACCTGAGGAAGAGATTGTGGCAGTGCTGAGGAAGACTCATCACTGGAGAAAAGGTGATCAATATTTTTAATTTTTATTTTAATTTATTTTGTGACACATGGAGGGGCTAAATAACAAGGGGCATCAGGACTTTATCAGGACATAGTCATATAACATTTGAGGTAATATGATTATTATATTTAAATATATTTATTAGCTTTTTTTAGTTTTGTGCATGCTAGTATAAAGTAAGACTGAGATTCCAGCTGATGTCTTAAATGAATATGCTGATACTATTCTGCATACTATTATTTTATAATAGTATAATAGTTACTGTAGTTATAGTTACTGTAATTGCAATTCTGATTATGGACTAGGATATAAATGTGTGATGGAATCCAATCATTTTATTTTATTGTTATCCTGATTGTTAGTATATATCATATATCTCATAAAACCTATAACTGTAAATGTGCATATTTCATATATTTACATTCTTTAGCAATTTCAAATACATTTCACTTCTATTTTAAACAAAACTCAACTGTAATTTATTGCAAAATCACATTTAGTTTTAGTTTGTTTTGTTTCTAAGACAATGAATGCACTTGACATAAACACACAACATATGTAGCCTAGATTGGAAAATAGACATCCTTGACAATTATCTGATACAAATAATTGTGGCTGGTATATGAGAGCAGAGTGGGTATTATGTAGTGCAGGAGCTTTGGTGATTCAGTATTTATCTTTGTAGGCAAATCCTATGCTAAACAAAATAAAGACCAAAGATAACTGTAACTAGAAATGATGCTATGAAAGAGCTGAAATAAAAATGGTTACATTAAATTATTTTCAATTGCAATATAAGCATAATAGAAGTCAACAAAGTGCAGTGCATTAAACTCTTTTATTGTATCTGTTCCTATTCTGATTAAATATTTAAATCCAAATCAATGTAAGGTAGAGATTGCTAGTTGTATATAAAAAGACATTTAAAAAGAGTATTGAAAGCAGATATTTTATTTCAGTGAAGTATGTTACATTACAACTGGTATAGTAACCAAAACAATAATGCATTTTGTGAATAATACAGACAGGGTTATATTCTAGTTATATAGCAGAATAGAGATGTGTCCATCGAGTTAAGCTTTTCTAACATCTGGTTTAAACAGCTTTTTATTTTGCAACAAATTAGGAAAAAACCTTCTTGACCCTAGAATTGAAATCAGAAATTTAACTGGATCAGGAAGCTATTACTCCACTAATTACAAATTACATCCCTGAATATTATGTTTTTGCAAGTGTTTATCCAATTTTTGTTTAAACATCTGTATAGACCCTGCCAAAGCCACCTCATCAGGCAAATAATTCTGCATCCTTATTGTTCTTATTTTACCTTTTCTTTTGCCTTACACAAAATCCAATTTCTTCCAAGCTAAATGCATGATTTTATGTCCTATCTATAATATTGTTTATGAATAGATTTCCAGACAAAAGTTTGTATTTGCCCCTAATATATTTCTATAATGCCATTATATATTCAAGGCACAGTTTTTCCAAACTAAAGAGATATAAATTTGGTAACCTTTCTTCATAGATAAAATGCCCCCCTCTGCGTTTTGTCTAGTGTTATAATAACCATCTTTAGAACATATGCCCAAAATTGCACAACATATTCAAGGTGTTGTCTTCCCTGAGATTTTTAAAAATCAACAAATTATATTTTCATCCCAAGAATTCCAAGAACTAATGCCCTTATTTATGACAACATCTTATTGACCTTAGCAACTGGCGATTGTCATTGCACATTGTTGACTAGCTTTTTGTCTATAACAATTCCCAAATCCATCTTGAGTATTGTTATATCTGATTTACTACCATTTAAGGTGTAAGTTGTTTCTGCATTCTTTACACAAAAGTGCATAACTTTGCATTTTCGACATTATAATTAATCTGCCATTTGAGAGCCCTGTCCCCCAATCTATTTAAATCCCTCTGCAACAAAGCAATAGCCTGCTCACATTGTATTGCTTTACAGAGATTTGTGTCAACTGCAAATACTGAAACCTTTATATTTATAAATATAGGAGTGGTCCCAGAACAAATCCCTGATGAACACTACTTACCACTTTTGCCCAGCTTCAACATTTATCATAAATGGCACCTTTTTGTACTCTGTCTTTAAGCCAATGTTCTACCCAATAACAATAATTTTAATCTATAACAATTTGCTTTAGTCTGAACATTAAACTATTGTGAGGAATAGTATCAACACTTTGGCAAAATCGAAGTAGATCACATCCACTGCAGCACCCTGATTTATACTTCTACTTAATTTGTAGAATGCAATTAGGTTTATGTGACACTTAGGTTTCATAAAATCATGCTGATTATTGCTATTAACAATGTTCTTCCCAATGAATTCCTAAAACTAATTCCTTAATGACTCTTCTAATACTTCCCCAGCCACAGAAGTTAAGCACACAGGTCTATAACAGGGTGTGATATGTTGAGAATTATAAGTGAATTAAACAATTAAGGTGTGACAAATTCCCCTTTCCAAGCGAGTTTGCCACAAGTTCCTGGAGGAGTCTGCTTACCAGCCTCCTGCCCACAGACTATGGGCCCTGTAATATACACTGAAAAAGTCTCTGTTTGTGTATTTGGACCATATGGTTCAGGAACCGAACAGCTGCATGAACCGAGACCACCCTGGAGCTTGTTAAGCCTAATTGCTACTTTGTAGCAATTTCCACCACAGTGTTCTAAGTGTACATCTGACTAGCTGCATTTGCTATGGAGGACCACAAGGTGGTGGCCAGCTTGTTCGCATGAACAGAGGCAGCGGTGTTTGATTGTCAAGTTCATGGAACTATTTTGGAACATTGAAACTCCCGAACAACACTGGACTTCCATGATCGCCTGTGTTCGGTTTTATAACACTTAGGAAGACAATGTTCGGTGGAACAAGGAGAACAAGCTCCAGGGTAAGACTCTTGAATATGTTCAGCAGTTTGTTGGGTTTTTAAACTACCGAACTAGACCCTGATTCTCTGGAACTGTTTTGGGCAGGAGCCTCATGTGTGGTCAGTAAATCATGACTTCCATGGAAATCCCGAACCCCTGAACCAATCTGGGTGATTTTTGGATATGTTGGTCCCTCAGGGGATATGACTTTGTGGGGTTTCCATGTGTTTTAGGGGTGTTGGGGATAAAATCAGCCCGGGCCCTTTGATGGATGTTTGCCAAATCTATTTATCAGAGCTCTGGAAATTGGAAATGAAAAGCAGAGACGTGTTCAATAACCAATTCAAATTTTATTCATACGTCAGTTATATTTATACCCCGTTTTCATGGGTATGAGCATAAAGGCGTGACAATGACGTATATTGTTTTGCACAAGTTATAAGCAGCTGTTTCTTTTTATATATTACGTTATAGAACGCACGTATATTTGATTAAAAACAGATATTTACAAATGCCAAATCTTGGACAATTAACAAGAACATTTCAAAATCAGTATGGTCATTCTCGTAAATTATATTAGATAAATTCTTCCTAGAATCAAAGATACAATTCCAAGTTTAAATTACTTTTGGGGTATTATAAAATGTATGTGTTCTGTGCCTGGAGATAATAGAGTTTAGTACAGTTCATGACTCAATTATTTTCCAGACACAGGGGAAGGATTATCTTGTTTTATGTGGGAGTGTCCTGGACCTGAGAGCCAATGTAATCATGTGTATGTTTTCACTGTCGTCTACTCTCAGGTGTAGCCGGAAACCCCTTGCATGGGGACCTGCATATAAGGCCAGTTGTGGCTGCCATCAAACAGATTTATTTTACCCTTCATGAAGCCTAGGCTCATGTTTGGGGGATTGAGAGCTATATTCACACTCTGGGGATTGCTATACTCCTTATACTCCCTGGAATTATAATCATTAGTTCTTGTAAGAGCTATCTTGCTTTGCTCTCTGGACTAGGAGAGTTCTACCTACCCATCTACTGAATCCTGGTCTTGGGTCCAGGGTGGGTAGAGGACAGCGAGACCCCAACCAAGCTGTGGCGGTTTGTGGGGTGTATGGTGGTTATGGTGTCAAGCGCAGTGTTTATGGCATTTAAGGATTACTAGGAAGCAGCGATTGATGGAGGTACCTGGTCGGGGTGCCAGGCAGTCTGTCACATAAGGTTTATTTTTAAATATTTTACACTAAAATAGATTTCTTTCTAATTTGGCTATTTTGGTCTACATTTTTAAATTCACTTTAAATTCATTTTGAATTTATTGTAATTCTTACTAAATAACCATGAGAGAGTTTTCTAACATCAAAATTTTAATCTAGTTCTCTAGTTATTCCACATTTAAGATACAAACCGCTAGACCAAAGAGTAAGATTATTCATCTATTAGTCCTAAACATGTATACGTCTAAATTGACATGGACAGCTGAGCTTACATTCTAAATAAAATCTGAATTAAAAGCACAATTTAAAAACAGAGGCCATACTTATAGTCTATTGTTTGACAGTTATCTATATGTTGATGAGACCATAATGATGTCTTTGCAATCACATTCTCACCTATCCAATGTTTTACAATACTTTTGACGTTCTAACATCTGCCTTATATCAAGCAAGCAAGCTTAAACGATCACAATCACATCAGATATATTGACACATGCATGGAGCTATTTTTATATTATCAAATTCATCAACCAAAAGAACTAGACAAATAGCTTATTTTTAAACAATTTAATAAATACCCCAAACGTTAACAAACTTAACAAGGCACTTGAGCAAACAAAAATGTCAAACATCTCTGCACCATATTTCTTTTGAAATAATTCTTATTTCAATTAATATTTCTTGTTTGAAAAATTTATGGAAATGATGCTCAAACAAGCCCTGTGATAATAGCAATATAACTTAGCAAAACTGCTAATTGCACAACAAATACCCATGTCAACTATATCCAAAATGCCCACTTTAAACATGCTCACTACAGAGATTAGAATGTTGATTTAGAACACAAGTTGATGCTGCATGTCACCTGTTATCATCACTACAAAGAAGTAATAGTAATTAATTTTGTATGTATTGTCAACCTCACAATATCAGCATATCAATCCTGAGATCATATAATTGACTACAAAGACCACAATTACGCCTGATTTTAAATTGATAATGAACTTTAACTTCAGCAGCATAACCGGTAGGGAATGGATTTAAAATGCTTGAATTGTGATCACGATGAAACAAAAAAAATACCAGTCAAGGTAAAACAAGTTATAAAACAATTTATTTTCAGTGTATATAGGATAAGGGATGATTTTATTATGGTTAGCACATTGTCCCTTTTTCTACAACGTATTTGTTTATGTTTATTGCTGTTAGATAACTCTTTAGGTGCTGAAAAAAGGGCTAAGTATACCATTCTGGCAGTCAAAGGATTACAATCACGCTATCTGGAATTTAATGTTCTCTAGCATTTATTCTTTGTTTAAAACAATGGACCATACAAATCCCAGAATAGGTATTGTTTTGGTTGGTTGAATATGGACGTTTGGACATTTATGCAGAAGTCATGAAATGTTAATCTTTGCCCTAGAGAGCCATCCAAGAACAGTTCATTAAAAACACTTTGACATTAACTTCAGACAGTATTTTGCAAGTATTCTCTGCAAAAGCTAGTTAACTCCTTCCTTTGCAACTCAAATAATATATTGGCTAACATTCATTTACAACTGTAGAGCAATGCTAAGTGAAATTTGGATCATAAATTCTGCATTTACCTTTTTTTTCCTATAGCATTGGTTTTACCATACAGACAAAAACAAGTATCTACCAGGTTGCCATTCTGCAGAGAGACTGCAAATGCTAGTTTGAGATTCCCTTTTACACACTGTGCAGACACCTTTGTAAGACAAACTTTATTTGTACATTTAAAGCAGTGGATGCAGAAGCGAGGTACTGATTACACTTTTGCATATAACTGCACTATGCATCTGCATACACATCTGCAAAGATGTAGAGAAGACAATGGAGAGGGACACAATCTGTAATTACTTTGTATACCTCATGGTGAAAAAAACTAGTTCAGGGGCAAAATGTAAATAGGTAAGTGGTGCTGTATGGACATAAATACCCAATAAATACATGGATGTGACAGGCAATTGTTCATGTGTTAATTGCTTTCACCTGGGCAAAGATTTCTACCTATTAAACATACTACATTTGGTGTTTCATTAATGGTAAAAAGAAGTTCAGAAACATGTATATGATATAATGGGTTAGAAGATGAGGGTTTTTTTTTTTTACTGCTTTAGCACACTTTAGTGATATCCCTCTTAATCTAAGAATATTGGCTGTATTTGCATATTGTATATATATATATATATATATCTATCAGTAAATTAATATGTTTGTGCTTTATTCCCTAGGCAATGCTTTACAAATCATCTGAATGCAGATTTTCAAATACATTGCAGAACATATTACAAACATGCAAGGCAAGCATTATGTGCAGTTACATGAACATTCCAAACACATAAAGCACTTTGGCCTGCTATTTTAAAAAAGAGTCAATTCCTAAAGTAATCGGCACTTTTATAAATTAATCTTGTTACATCTCCCCAGCTGTCAATCAGACAGTTGGTCCTACTACTTCTTCATAGTTACAAGATCTGAAATAATTGCAAGCCAAGGTTTCATATACCCAAAAGAATACACCAAACAATACAAATTACATGCATATTTCCTGTGGGAGTATATATATTAGATTGGTTTTTTTTTAATGGATTGTTAAATTTTAATGCGGGAATTAATAGTTATTACCATGGATGCAGTAGCTGTTGCAAAACTACAACTGTTATAGGCCTCAATTTAATGTTTTTGGATAAGCTTTTCAAATGGTCACAATTTGGTAGATAAGTCATTTGGAAATTATGTACTAACATATTGTGCTCATTTGAAAAGCGTATCCAAAAATATTAAATCAGGGCCATAGTCAGTGGCATGTTATACGTGTTATCTTGTAGTTAGTGATGTCCCAAATTGTTCGCCGAACGGTTCGTGAACGGTTCGCCACAAATGGTTCGCCAAGGACTCATCATTGAGTAAACTTTGACTCTGTACCTCACAGTCAGCAGACACATTCCAGCCAATCAGCAGCAGACCCTCCCTCCCACCTCCTGGACAGCATCCATTATGAAGCTGCATTCTTAGTGAGCTGTCCAGGAGGTGGGAGGGTCTGGGAGGGAACACTATAGGCACCCTGAACACTTCATCTCAACAATGTTCTGCAGGGACTGCAATGTTTTCTTTGCATGGTTAACCTGCCTCAAGTTGTTGTCAATATGACAGTCACCAGAGGCACTTCTGTAAATTAGCAGAGTAAATCTCCACTAGTTCAATGACATAGTCTCAAAGAGACAATATGATTTTCACAGCTCTGTATTTTGCCATGCATTTGTACTAGCCTCCCAATGTTTTCTTATGGGAAATCATTGGATTGGCTGAGATTATCAATCTCTATTATCTCAGCAAAAGAGTTTTCTTGCAGAGACCAGCATGGTGAGTGAGAAAATGTATCTAAAATAGTTTTTTTAAACCCTGGCAGAACTGGCCCAGTCACCTTGATGGTATTTAGGGTTCTATAGCATTAGGTATACATATTTGTGTTCCATCTAAATTGCCACATGACATATTTTGTGATGCATGTTGTGATAACATACCCTGGAAATCAGCTGTTACAAGTAAGTTCAGAAAGTCAGCCCTACTGGGATTAGCTAGCCCAAGCTATTTCTTGATGCTTCAGTGCGACATATAATAGAAATATTAGTATGGAGGTTCCCTGAAGGCAAGTATGTATGGGGACAGATCGTTATGCCTATCACTGTGAAACAGCTTAGTGCCCTCAATTAATTACAGTACACCTTGCAGTCATGGCGTTTATGGGGTGTACTTGCCATTACTGTAGAGTCTTACTGATGCTTCCACACATCATAGCACTGATATGGCAATCCCAGCAGTCATATGATATGATTCATATATAGTATAGGGCTATTCCAACTAGGGGAGTAAAAATATAACATAGTGCAACACTGTGTGTAATAATATTGCATATAAAATTAAGTGCCAAGTGATCACTCACACTTTGACATCAAATGAAGTGCCTTCAGAAATATATTGGTGTGTGTCTTCTTACTTCAATGCTGAGTAGATGTTAATCTCATACAAAAGATAGAAAAATGCAAAAAAATGAAATAACTATGTAAATAAAGTGCAAAAAGCAGCATTTATTACTTACATCAAAGTAAATAATAGCAGATGATGAGAAATATGTTCAATAGTAGTCCAACGCGTTTCGTCCCTATCAGGGACTTCCTCAGGGACAATCTTTTACAAAGTGCTGGCTACAATGCTGGATCAGCTGTCATTTGACTATTACAGGACACCAGGTGTAAAGGCTGCTTAAGATTATATACGGTTAAATTTAGATAGAAGTTGAGTTAGATATATCATCAATGTTTGATTCTGTTCTCATAAATCTGTTATTGTCTGGCATAATATACTTGTTTTTCTTGCAGGCAGTGCTGGGAGGAAGTGGAAACCTACATCTCCCCTCACTTCTTCCCTGTCTCTGTTAGCTTCTTCCTTTCTTCCATTCTTTTACAGTTAATATATACATATTTAAATCCCCTCCCATATCTAACCACCACTCCTTCATTCCCTCCCCTCTGTCAGGATTAATAAGTGATCAAGACTACGCATAACGTATAACCGGACCTTAGAATGGCCGGACTTAACATATCCAAGAGTAGTCAGAATACTTGCCGAGGTCAGGAAAACAGAACGTGACACAACGATGAGGGAAAGCCAAAAGTCAAGGATGCCAGAAACCAGGGAAGTCAAATGAAGCCAAAGTCAAATACCAGGAATACAACGATCAGAAATTCTCTCTTGGATAACCAGCTAAGGGAGCCCACGAAAAGGCGCTGATCAAAAGGTAAGATGGGTTTACATAAC